TAAAATTATTTTCTTCAATAAATAGATTTTAAATGTGTATGTATGGCCCCTGACTCTATTCACAACACTCAGTGCGGCCCTTACTAAGTTTAGATTTGACACCCCTGGTTTAGTGGATTTAGTCAGAACTGAGTTGTGGGCAGCTCCTATGCAAGCTATTGTTTTCAGTCATTCTTCTTACACTTCATACAGTTAACTCACACTGTATACAGAAAGTACATTCCCTTTAATTTTGCACTTAAATATTGCTGGTTAGTTTTGATGATTGAGTTTTTTTGTAGATTAAGATTTGATACTTTTTTTGGTGCAACCAAATGTTTGCAGCTGTTTCAACTGTCAAATAGGCTTGGAACTTTTCAAATGTTTTAATGGTTAATTTTTTATACATATTCACATAGTACAATTATTTGACAAGTACATAAAGTAAAACAATCACTTTAATTGTTCACTGAATGTTACCCTTAAATAGTTAAAGTTTTCTTGATTTTTACCAACAACTGTTTACATTTAATTGTACAAGTTGCATCCACCCTGAAATAAATGTTGGAACGATTAAAATGTGTTCCTATAGAGATAGTTCACTAAAAAAAGAACATTTACTTGCTATTATTCACTCCTCAAGTGTTTACAAGCCTCAGTGGATTTATTTCTTTTGTTGAACACAAAAGAAGATAGTTTGAGGAAAGCTGGAAACCTATAACCACTGACTTCCATAAAAGAAAAAAAACAAATACTATGAAAGTCAGTGGTTACAGGTTTTCAGCTTTCTTCAAACAATCTTCTTTTGTGTTCAGCAGAAGAAATAAACAAGTTAAGAGTGAGGAAATTGACAATTTTCATTTTTTCGGTGAATTGTCCTTTTGAGTTTGTGTTTCTATACAGTTGGGTGTTGCATTATTGTCAACCTTTCACACAGGCCATAAGTGAAACATTTGAACAATTTTGCAACATTGTTTTATTGAAATGGTTTTAATGTGTTTGTTGCACCACATTGTAATGTTTAGTTAAGTACTCATGCATTAAAGGGCACCTATGGTAAAAAATCTACTTTTCAAGCTATTTGGACAGATCTGTGTGTTGTTATAGTGTATAGACCGGCATACTGGGGTGATATGAACACACCCAGTCCTTTTTTTTAAAAAATTTAACTACAAAAAAAGGGTCGGCCAATTGGAGCTGTTTTCAAATCGATCGCACCATTACGTAGGTGTGCGATCCCCCCGCCTACCGAATTGATTGACAGCTGCGCGCATTAACATGTTCCGGTAGTCGCGTGTATATGTCAACAAAACCAGACAGACATACGCAAAGCAACCGGGAATAAAAGGTCTGTTCTGTTCGCTAGGATCAGCAATCATCATCAAATGTGATTAAGAGTAAGTTTCACATGTTTAAAGTGTTTTAAAACAGAGTATGTGTGTAATTAATTACAGCGATTTACTTCAGCTTTACTTCATCAGCACAGCCGCGTGTCAGAACAATTATAAAAGAAGACGCTTCAATCCCGGTTTGTGGAAGTTAAATCAGGTTTATTTTGTACATAAGCATAACAGATGCAGCAGTGGAGGTTAGCCTTAACTAAACTAAGCGCGCTCTGTCTGTCTGCCTGCTTGTGTGTGTGTGTGTGTGTGTGTGTGTGTGTGTGTGTGTGTGCGTGCGTGCGCAGGCGCACGCGTTACTTTGTAACGATATTGTGTGTGACTCATCAATGCAACTTCACAATACTGATTAGTAAAGGTTAGTTCTTACTGTAGTATCTCACAAACGCTACGTGAGACCTTCTTCCTGTAAAGCCTGATTTATACTTCTGCGTCAAACACCGGCGTATGCTACGGCGCTGACGCATAGCCCTTCGACGTGGCCATCGCCGTCACTGACGTGCACCTCTCAAAAAATGTAACTACACGTCGCAACGACGCGTAGCATAAGCTCTGTGATTGGTCGGCTTGGTAGCGCTGACGAGTCTGGGCGGGACCGAGAGGCGCGCGAATGGCGCGACGCCGCGCGAGCGATTGTTTACAAGTGTGGAGTCCAGTGAAGGAGCTCCGGATGGAAAGTTTTGTTTTGTGTTTACCTCATAGTTAAAGTTGTTGCACGTCCGCCGGTTCCTGCCTCAAAATGAGCGAGTTTGAGCCACTTGTACATCCCGGAAGTGTTCAGGAAATGCAAAAAAGTAGCGAAGAAACTTGACACAGAGGAACATTTACACCTCACTGCCAACTAGCGTTTCGGAAGTGTTATTGCAGACCGGCAGAGACAGCGCGCAGAAGTATAAATGCACAGCCACGCGCGTTGCCTGCGCCGTGGGTTACGCCGGTCACCTGACGCAGAAGTATAAATCAGGCTTAAGTCTGTCTGTTGTCTGACGCAACTGAGGGAGGAGGCATGTAGAAATAGTGGGCGGGAAAGATTCGTCTTAAAGGCGCAGTACGACAAAACCACCCCCTGCTGGAAATCAGTATAAAACAGCATCTTGTAAAAGGTATAATGAAAAATCTAATGTGTATTTTGATCTGAAACTTTATATACACATTCTAGAGACGCAAAAGACTTGTATTAAATCTGAAAAAAGGGGTAAATTAGGTGCCCTTTTAACAACACAACCTCCATATATTGTGTCAAATGTTTTTTGTGGAGAATTCAAGATGGAGTGAGTAGGCTACTACACTGAAAAAAAATTATTTATTGGATTTACAAAAATTGGTTGCAAACAAATTGTGTGGGCTGAATTTAAACAAACAAATTAAGTTAAACATTACTAAATTTTATTTGTTTGTTTATATTGTGCCTGTATAAATTATTTGCATTTTTGCTTTGCATTTTTTTATGGGCCAATCTCACAGCAATTCGTAACTTTTTGATTTAGTGGCTAATTTGTATGAATTTGTACGATCTAATTCGTACAATTTAGTACGATTTGCTCATCCCCCAATGACGGTTGGGTTTAGGGGTGGGGTTAGGTGCCACGCCTCCTTTTTAAAATCGTACAATTTCGTACGAATTAGCCACTAAACTGGCAAAATGTAAAATACTTGCATTTTCTCGTGAGATCAGGCTGGGTATAACACAACATACAGACAACATATCAGTTTACCTGTAAAACCCTTTAGTTTATATTTTAAATATACCTCCCCTTTATACTCTTTTAAGGTAAAACAAATGAAAATTCTATTACTTAAAACTTAACAGTTTAAACAAAATTATTTTACTTTTGAATAACAAGACTATTTCTTCCTAAACTCGCTTCCTCTGTTTCATTTGCATTTAGGTCAGGTCTGAAAGTAATGATGTAACACCACAAAAGTTTTGAAATCATGCTAAAAAGTACATTACTGTAGTTGAGAAAGATGTTTATACATTTAAAAAATAGTCATAAAAATGTATTTATTTTTGTATAAAGTGCATCTTTATGCATTTTTATTCTTATCTCAAAAGCCTTATTTTGCACATGAGGATGGGATGGTCTGGAACAAATTATTCATTCTTTCAGAAAACACAAAGCAACATCACTGTAATTGTGTGTCATCACACACAAAGAACTATATTAGAGGTTATTCACTTTAGCTTGAGCACTGTGTCGGACAGACAAGGGATCCTGAACAGAGCCAATATGGACATTAGTATTTTTTAATATCTATAAACAAATGTTTTGAATAACACATATTTGCATATAAGACTACTTGTTAGTGGTAGATAGCTAATACATGATCATTTTTAGCCTATCAAAAACATTTTTCAGAATTTATTTAACATATAACATGTTTAATTGCTACATGTTTGGTTGTTTAGCCTGCTTTATCACAGCAATCTATGTGTGTGTGTGTCTGTCGACCTGCTCTCTGAAACATCTAGAATTCTCTATATTCATTATTAAATCATGAATTTTAATATTGCATTACACTATCCTTAAACACAACAGTCAACAGTAGGAGCTTAAGTCATAGTGTATATGTTTTTGACGTTTTCCCCTTGTCAGTTAAAAAGTCCAATAACTGAGGAGATTGCATATAATAATTTGAGAGATTTAAAGGAGGGAAAGCTGTCCCGGGGGAGAGCCCTAAGCTCATAAGATCCACGAGCCCTGGGCTCCCTTTCGTAAGCAGGGCATGAGGGGAGTTTGAGCTCAGGTAATTCTTGATAAACTCCCCCGACTCGTTTCTGTTCTACTGACAGATATAGAGATGGCTAAAGAGAGCTATATGGCTTACTAAGAGCTCGACTATGGTGCCAATGTAGAATGTTCAGTTTACTTAGGTTGGACTGTGGGAGGAACCTGGGGAAAACCTATGTGAGCACAGAGTGAACGAGCAAACTCCACACAAAATGTCCACCGGTTCAGCAAACTTTAACCTGTAACATTCTTGCTTTGAGGCAACTTTGCTAACGACGGGGTCACCGTGTGGCCCAATCTAGAAGGAGGGAGAGTAAGGGTGGCAGGGGAATTTCTCAAGACAAAGATAACCGAGGTAAGAAACTCTGGTTATTTATAGTGAGTTAGGAATCATCTGATTGGTGAATCGTCTTAGCTAATGCAGGACCTGTTGTGGACAATCATAAGCATGTGATCCTCTTGAAAGTAATTTATAAACAAACTTCACGTCAATGAACAGCCAAACTACATGAAAAAGCTGCCGTTTTCAATATACCCATTTTGTGTAGACTCTGCTCTCCATTGTGAAGCTTCATGTGAGTGTTGAGAGTGTCTTTTATGTTTAAAGTCTTTTCCACACTCACTGCATCTAAAATGATTCTCTCCTGAGTGAGTCTTCAATTGTTGCTTAATGGAGTCTTTGAGTGTGAGACTCTTTCCACACTGATCACATGTGAACACTATGGTTCCAGTGTGACCATTCATGTGGTTCTTGAGGCTAGCTTTGGTTGTGAAGCTCTTTCCACACTGAACACATGCAAACGGCTTCTCTCCGGTGTGAGTTCTCATGTGGTAATCAAGTGCGTTTTTACATATGAAACTTTTACCACACTCTGCATGTGTAAGGTTTCTCTCCAGTGTGAATCCTCATGTGGATCTCAAGGTCTTGTTTTTGAGAAAAACTTTTCCCACACTGTGTGCAAGTAAAAATTCTCTCTCCAGTGTGAGTTCTCATGTGGACTTCAAGGGTGCCATTTCGCTTAAATCTCTTTCCACACTGAGGGCAAGAGTAAGGCTTTTCCCCAGTGTGAGTTCTCATGTGCGCTGCAAAGTTTCCTGCATGATAGAAGGTTTGTCCACAATGTTGGCATGTGTACGGCCTCTCTCCAGTATGAATTCTTCTGTGCACTGCAAAGTTTCCTGCATGATAGAAGGTTTGTCCACACTGTTGGCATGTGTACGGTCTCTCTCCAGTGTGAATTCTCATGTGGGTTTTAAAGCCTTGTATATAACCAAAACTCTTTCCACAGTGTTCGCAGGTGTAAGGTTTCTCCATAGTGTGAACTTTCATGTGAACGTCAAGGTTCTGCTTTTGGCTGAAACTCTTTCTACACTGTTTACAGCTGAAAGGCTTCTCCCCTGTGTGAATTCTCATGTGCACCACAAGGCTTCCTGCATGAAAGAAGCTTTTTCCACACTGTTGGCATGTGTACGGTCTCTCTCCAGTGTGAACTCTCATGTGGGTTCTAAAGCCTTGTATATAACCAAAACTCTTTCCACAGTGTTCACAGGTGTAAGGTTTCTCTTTAGTGTGAACTCTCATGTGAACATCAAGGTTTGACTTTTGACTGAAATTTTTCCCACACTGTTTACAGCTGAAATGACATCCAGTTTTGGGTTTCCGAGGTCTTCCACGTGAAGTCTTTTTAGTCAGTGTGGGTTTTTCATTAGTCATTATCTCTTGAGGTTTCTCTAACTGCTGTTTCTCCTCCATTTGATCAGTCTCTTCTTTCAGCACCACCAAGTCTAAAAAAAAAAGTGAACTTTAGTATGAAGGCCCAAAGGAACAAGCATGAAATGGATGTTTCACCCACAAATAAAAATGACCTTACCATTTACTCTGTGTTATGCAGTTTTGAACTTTTCCTTTTTTCTGGAACACAAAGTAAGTCAATCTCTGCGTTTTCATCTTCTTTTGAGTTCAAAAGGATCAAGAAACTCATGAAGGTTTAAAACCCACACGAGGGAGAGTAAATGGTGAGGCTATTTTCATTTTTGCATCAACAATCCCGTTTAAAGGGTTCTTATTATGAACCTTTTTACAAGATGTTAAAGGTTTTGGCTCAAAATAAGATCAAATACCTTGCAGAATATTTCTCTATAGCTCTTTTTGTGCCTGTGGCTTTAAATGCAAACGATCAAATGTACTCGCTCTAGATTAACCGTGTTCATTCATGCGTAACTTCCACTCCATTTAAACATTTTGAACTTGCTTGAAAGACACGATTGAGACAAATCCTGCATGTTGACAGCAAGTGCGCATAATTGACGCTAATATTTTTAAGTTAGCATTATTGTACATAACTTATTCAAATGTTCTCAGTACTGGGTTGCAGCTGGAAGGGCATGCGCTGTTTAAAGCATATGCTGGATAAGTTGGTGGTTCATTCCGCTGCGGCGACCCCTGATAAATAAAGGGACTGAGCCGAAAGAAAATGAATGAATGAATTTACGCAAATGCTTAATGCAACGTTTGCTTTACCTGGAGTGATGAGGAGATGGCGAGATGACATACTTTGTTACTTGTTTTCATTCATTTGTATTTTTGTCTTTGTTTTATTGCCTTTGTGCATGTTCTGAGGCTTAGCTGAAGACCTACATGATGACATTTTATATACCTGACAAAATGTAGAAATGCTATCTAAAAAGGTTTCCTGCTGTTTGTCCAATTAGGGAGAGTGGCAACGTAAATATACAAATAATAATGTTAACCCGGGGTTTGCAAATGTGAAACTTCTGTTAATGAACTCCCCGGTTTATATTTTAACCCCAGGTATAGCATGAGCAGTGTGGAACATGATTACAGATAACCCAGGATTCTGTTTATCCATTGTTAGAATGACCCAAGGTTAACAATTTGAAGTGTGAAAAGCCCTAAAACTACTCAGCATCAGCTCTCTGGATAAACAGAGTACAAAGAGACAATTTTCAATCATGTCATAGCAGTGATCAGGGCCCCATTTCAGAAAGGAGGTTAATTGAAAACTCAGAGTATTTTAACCCTGAAATAAGAAAAACCTCTGGGTTTTCCGTTTCAAAATGGCAGGTTTGTCAAACTGGAGAAATCAGGGTAAGTCAAGCCTGTTTCTGAAAGAGAGGTAGTATTTTGGTCATTCTAAAACACCTTAACCTTTTCAGTATTAATGTATATTATTAATGACCTCCAGAGTGTCAAGAGCGTCTGTTCTCAGCGTCTCATGGCTTCAAACACCCCCACGTGTTCATTGTGTGTCAGCATTGTCTTCAAGGCGCGAGTACATTTATTAAATAAAGGAAAGATTGACGCAGCTTCTTCTACTGCAGTAAATTCCGTTTTTACTGTTGATATTTGGTGCCAGTTAATTAGGAAGTGATGATTTTGTTATCTTTGATTCGTAGCATGGAAACGCTGATTTATTTGCATATATTTTATGTGATATTCCAGTTTTGCACATAAATTTAATTAATATTTTTGGATGGAAACACAGCTATTGCCTACATTAGTCACACAAAGAACAAATGTAAGTCACGTACGAGAATGGCTTGTCCTTTTAAAATAAATGTTTTGCTTAAATTCACTGTCCTTTGACATGTACTGTTACTGGATTAATAGGATTATTATTCGTTCTAAAACATTTTTTTAGTTCTGCTTATATTCTAAATGTCATATCAACCTCTACCACTTGATCAATAATAGAGGCAGACAAGTGCGCTTTTAAATCTATTAAAACTGATCGACGTGTTTAAAAGTGGGAACATGGGTAAAAAATTTAATGATCACACATTACATTACTTATTTTATTATACTTAAATATTTAAATACTTTAAATGTATAATTACGCATTAACTTTAGCAGCTATGTTTTCCCACGCTAACTGTTTTTGTTTCCTGATGCAGTGTTGTTGCTTTTTAAATATATGGTCATATTTGCTATAATTTTGCATGAGCACATCATGTTCAGCTGGAGAAAGAAATGCTGATCTCTTTTTTCAGATGTTGATATGGTCACTTGTAATATCTGCGCTCCATTGATAATGCCTTTTTTATATTCATGGTATGCACGCTTAACTCTGAGTTGGTCTAGGCAAAGATTGACCCAACTCAGATTAACTATTTTGAAAAAGAAAACTTGAGTTTTTAGTCTCTCTGTAAATCAACTCTGAGTTCAAGTTTAAACTCCGAGTTGGTTGAACCTCCTTACTGAAACAGGCCCCTGATCTCATATGCTATTGTTTTAAAACTTCAGTTTCCTATTGGAGAAATAACCAGGAATAATAAGTGAAGTTTGTTTATAAACTAATTTCGAGAGGATCACGTGCTTATGATTTATCACGGCCGGTCTTGTATTAGCTAATCATTATCTTCCAATCATATGAGCCCTAAGCTACTATAAAGAAGTTTTCAGTCCACCTTATCTTCGTTTGAAAGAAATCCCCCTTCCTCCCCAATTCTCCTCCTTGACCTTTATCGGGCGGCACGGTGGCCCAGTGATTAGCAATGAGAGCCTCACAGCAAGAACACCACCTGCCTAGTTTCGCTTAGCCGGTTGGCGTTTCTGTAAGGAGTTTGTATGTTCTCCACGTGCCCGCGTGGGTTTTCCCCGAGCTCTCCAGTTTCCTCCCACCGTCTAAAGATATACATCATGCTTAAGAATCAGGACGCTTTAGCCCCCTTCTCAGGTGTTCCCTTAGCTATCGCAGTCGGGGAGTTCTGAGATCCACCGAGCTCAGGCTCCCCTCTAGCTCTGCGAACAGGGGGAAGCCCCAGGCTCGAGGATCCATTAAGCTCGGGGCTATCTCCCGGGACAGCATGCCAAACAAGCTTTGATAGATTATCAGCTAAGTGTGAATTCTTGAAACGGCTATTTGCTCTACAAACAAGTGTGTTCATGACCATACATACAAAGAAAAATAATAAAATGAGAAAATATGACTTTGCAACATCAAGCAGCATTAAGCATGGGCCAGTATAAGATTCTGACGGTATGATAACCTTGAATAAAAATATCACGCCATCGTCCAGCTGACTCGATGTGGTGTGTGTGTAGCTGCCATGCGTCTGGTATGTAGCGGCTGTTTAAGCCCTTTTCGCTTTCGTTTTAAAGTGTGTTTTGGTTTTAATTTAGTTTTTTGCTCTGGGAGGCTGGTGTCTGTTCGGCTGCTGTTGCACTGTAGAGTGGCTGCTGTGGGGCATCGTAAGCTTTATGAAATGGAGTTTCATGTTGCTGAACTTTCCCTCGTAATGTTTGTTGACATTTCTGCGTGCTCCCGTGACTGCTGTCTTCCCGGTCGGTAAGTAGAGCGATACTGCTCATACATTTTGTGCATATCGAACAACTAGAAATAGAAACTGATTTTTATATATTTTAGCTAGTTTTTAGTATGGATGCCTTGCTCTGCCGGAGGGATGACTGGCATCTCGTGTAGAGGTATGTGAAACCCCTGTAATCAACTGTATTTGGAAGGTATGTCGGTTGATTGTGCTCTGTTTTATCATACGTTGCACTGCGACTTGAGCGTCTCCTGCTCTTGACATGCTGGATGCTGCTGTTTTGTTTCTAGTTTTGTTTTGTGTTTTGTTTTCAGTAGTTATGTTTCTAGTTCTGTTGTTTCTAGTTTTGTTTTGTTATATTTGTTTTTTTTTGAGTTGTTTCTTTATTTTTTTTGCTGCTTTTGTATCAGTGTTTTGCGTTTTGCATATTTGTTTTCTTTGATCTTTGTTTCTTTTGCATATTTACAAAAATAGGAAACATAAAATAAGTGTGTGGTCTCGAGGACTGCTTTGCTTCAATTGCTGCATTTGTGGTGCTTTGTCCTGTTTTAACATTGCGACCTTGTGCTTTACACTGTATGATTAGCTGGGGCCTGTCACCTCCGTGCCCCCCTGAGTGGCCGGTAGCCACTCTCAGGTAGTCTCTCATTTTGATGCTTCTGTGAGCTCATTTAATATATGTGCTTGTTGTATTTTATTAATTTTTTTTCTATTTTTTCTAATTGTGGTTTTTTTTCTTTCACTAGGAGCTGGGGGTGTCTAGTACAGGCAGTCGGGCCACTGTGTGGCGTGAGTCTTTTTCTATTAATTAGTCTTTTGCCCACTTGTGTGCATTGAAGTTCACTGTGTGGTGTTTTAAATCAAAGTGTGCACGTGTGAATCTGTGGGTCATTTTTGGGCCCAGTGCCTAGCCTGCCCGACTGTGGTGAGCCCCAGCTCCTCTGGTTGGATGAGGATTTTTTTTTTTTTTGTAATTGCCTCCACTAGTGCCTTTTTAAAAAGAGTGCATGTGCCTGTCTTTTAATATTTGTGGTCCAAAGATAATTGAATTGTAATAAAAGAAACCCTATTTTTCTATATCCACGTCTCATTGTCTTTGCTAGAGGTATGAACCTGTATTTTATGTCCCAGCAAATGTACTGGGTGGCTTAGTAGAGCTCTAATTGCAATAGTTTGTGTTAATTTGGCTTTAGTGTGCCAGTTATTGTATTGGTCTTGCGACCAACAAAAAGCCTTATCCCCTCTGCGTGCCACATTTTTTAAATGTCTGGAAAAAAAAAAAAAAAAAAAAAAAACCCAAAAATTCCCTTTGAACTAAAAATTTTTATTTGAGAAACTTTTAAAGTATTTTGAAGCAGTAAACATGTCAGGCAAGATTATTCTGATTAATCATTGACTTCTGCTTTCTTCATAAGTTACAAAAGCACAGATTTCTTTACGATTTAAAACGGCATCTATGGATATATTTTCTGCTGGAGATACTGTTGTCCTGAAAAACGTAAAACATAAAAACCTTACACTCAAATGTTTGCATATCATCAGCATGCTGTAATCCATTTCTAACAGCAAAAGTCATTTTTAGACTAGTTTGTTGGCCAGTTGTAGTCAGTGCAATGCTAAACGTTATTGTTCCACTATAATTTGTTTTTGTCTCACGTCGTCCCACAACAACATCATATAGTTTAGAATACTGTACAATGTTTTATAATAAGTAATTACTTTAGTGTCCATTTCAATCAGCAAACTTTAAATTAGGAGAAACAACATTTTCTGACATACTTTAAACCAGGGTTTCTACAGGTGTCACCAAGTTAAATTTAAGACTATTAAAGACATTTTTAAGACTATTATGAATGAAAATTTAAACTCATGAAGGGCTAAAGGCTAAGGAGTTTTTCAAATGGCCCAGATGAAAAAGATTTTTATTTGCCTTATCAAAAAAATATTATATTTAATACATTTAATAATAAAATAATAAATGAATAATAAAAAATTACAATATTTTAGATATTTCTTAGCAAAATATTTTAAATATTGTGTAAAAACAAGCAAGCTTTACTTGTATCCACACAATTTTTTTCCAACATAAACTTTGAAAAAATAAATAAAAAATGAACATATTTTAAATGTTTTAAAAAATATAATAAACTAAATTACTTGTATTCACACACCTTTGTCTTTAAAATAAAATAAAAAAGAACAAATATTTTCAACGTTTTAAAAACTATAATAAACTAAATTTATGCACAACAATCTGTCCAGGTCGATGTTCTCAGCAGTAAATACATGGAGCACGTTTAAACAAATGTTATTTTAAGAAAAATAACAAAACCATTATGATAAATAGAGTTAAAATTACCTTTTTGAACAAAAGTTGAAAGTTTTATTGAGATAAATTGTTGGTAATTGTATGGGTTTTGGCCAGATTACGAAGCAAAACATGAACAAAGGAAAATGAAGATTTGTTTAAAAAAGATTCAAGACATACAACACAGTATTTCAGTAAATTTAGGACTTTTTAAAGCCTACAATTTTGATTTTGGAATTTACAATTTTTTTTTTTACTCGCGGAAATCCTTGTTTATACAAAGTAACCCTGGTAATTAGTTATTATACTGATATTGTAATTCTAACTCGGATACTATCTGTGAGAACTAGAAACAATGAAAAGTACTAAGCCAACACTATCACTGTAATAGCAGATATCTTCTATGAGAATACTTTTTAATTTAATGTTTTTATATATTTTATATAGCACCAGTGCTCAAGAACTCTTTACAAACAGTGGGGGTACAAGAAAAGCAATAACTAACTAATTAAGAAGGTAGGAGACTAATAATACATAAAATAATGACAAAAGACCTGGGGACAAGCAACAAGAAAGAAACTCATTCCTGTCTTTCAATGAGTGCTTATATGCTTCAGGAGAACTAGGCAGCACACTCGGGGCTGCAAGATGGATTATATTTAGTATTCTTATAATTAAAATATATCTGAATGAGGATCAAATGACTGAGTTGGTGTTTGAGAGTGAAAACCAACCTGTTTGTTCCTGCAGATCTTCCTGTTTGACTGTGAATGTGTCTTCAATCTTCACATCTTCACTCTCCTCTTTAATAAACGCCATCTTTATAACAGTGTGGAGATCAGTCGCTTCAGCAGGAGTTTTTTTCTGTGTTTAGACACTTTATCCTGTTTAAAATGAACAAAACAATAAAAATGTCCTGTTTAAAATAAATAAAACAATAAACAGAAACAAAATAATTTTTCTTCAACACTTGCTTCAACAGTTTCTTTATATGAAAGTAATAAACAAAAATAAATCAGGTAAAAGGTTTCATTAATACTTATTACACACTTTTCTGTTAACCTACTTTATTCAAACAATTGCCTGTAAATACTGAGAATAAAATAGTACTACGTTGTATAAAGGGTTAAAATAATATGTCCAACAGCAGGAACATAATTTAACATCGTATAAAAAAACTAAAACTTTAGAACTTTAACTTTAAATAGGCTTATATCTGTAAACGTTTTAAAACAAACCTTTCTCCAGTTGAATCACAGCGCTGAAGCGGCGCCGTCTGGTGACGTCACACGCCGCGTCAAAATAAAAGTATTTCTTGGTTAGCTTTTTTTTCCATTTACTGTTGCAGTCATGACAAACCTTTAATGTAAATATTTTAAGACAAAGGTTTAATTTATTAAATAGGATGATTTCACTTTATTCTAAGTATGTATAAGAAATGGAGTACTAGTTTTAATTAGCTCATTTGTGGCTATTGTTTCTTGCTCTGACTTACCGAATTTATTTTTGTTAATTACTCTCATATAAAGAGAAGTTATTTTGTTTCTGTTCATTCACTGTTTTATTCATTTTAAACAGGTCATTTGTATTGCTTTGTTAATTTTTTACTGGGTAAAGTGTCCAAACGCAGAGAAAACCTATATATAATAAGTCATGACTAAGAGTAAGTGGCAAAAACAAAAGAAACTGTAGAAATGCAAATAAGGGTTAGTAAAGCAGAAGTGAAAAGTCTAATATGGGTAAGAATAAATAAAAAGTGGCAAGAGAAGTGGGACAGAGAAAAGAAAGGAAGGCATTTGTATGCAGTTCAAAAGGCTGTTAAACACAAAAGAGTCAGTAGAGGTAATAGGCGAGACGAAATAGTGATAACAAGATTAAGATTGGGTCATTGTTTATTAAATAAAACACTTAAATTGATACAAAAACATGAAACTTGATTATGTGAGGGATGTAGTGAAGAAGAGTCAGTTGAACATGTGATACTAAAATGCAAAAGATATGAAAAGCAGAGGGAGGAAATGAGAAAAGATCTAAGGGAAATAGGGATTCAGGAAATAACATTAAAAGGTTTACTAAATACAAAAGACAGGATTCAGACTAGAATACTTATAAAGTATCTGAGAGAAACAGGTGTTTATGATAGGATATAATAATTTAAGTTATAAGGTAAAGGGAATAAAGTTAAATATAACCAAGTAGTGGAAGTAAAAGTAGGGGTAAGAGCAATGTGGTGGTTATTATTATTATGGTATTAGTGTAAATAGTAGTATGAGAGTATTATGGATATTATTATAACATGGGAGTAGGGGAGAGGTGTGTATGTAAGTATGTATGTGTGTGTATGAGAAGGGGTGGGAAAGAGGGAAGTGGGGGGAATGATTAGTCTGTAAACCTAACCTCTGGTCCACACTCCGGAGCTGAAGGTGGCGGTAATGCACCAAAACGCTGGATGCCAACCGCCGTAAAATTATAAGAAGAAGAAGAAGAAGAAGTAAGTGGCAAAAAAAAGGTTAAAAAAAAAGACTTTTATTTGAGCGTGGCTTGTGACGCCATAAGCCTGCGCCGCTCTCGTGCCGTGATTCAACTGGAGAAAGGTTTGTTTTAAAGCGTTTACACTTATATAAACCAATTGATTAAAGTTTCAGTTTTTTTTCATTCAGTGCTAAATTATGTACCTGCTGTTGACAATATTATTTTAACCCTTTATTCTACGCATTACTATTTAACTCACAGTAATGAGGTCTATTGTTTAAATAAAGATAAGATAAACCTTTTGTTCCCGAGAGGAAATTTGTCTTGGGCAAAAAAGTGCTATAAGCAGACAATAATATAAATAAAACAAACAAAACAATTAAGAACATACCTGAAGAAAGTTTAAGTGAAGTAACAGTAAAGTGTGCAATAAGTGTTTTAATGAAGGTTTAATTTATTAAATAGCATAATTCCATTCTAAGTATATATCAACATATGGAAATGGAGATAGAGGTAAAGTTGGTTTTATATTCGCACATTCGTTCATTAAGAAGTCTATATTGTTTACCATGTTACTTTAAATATTCGATCAGATTTATTAGCATACAAGTGTGACTTCTAAACAACATTAACACTGTTTATATGACTGTGAACAATGTTGTACTTTAATAGTCATTGGCTGCTTATATGATTTCGCTATTTAGAGTTTGCAAAAATTACTTTTTATGAAATTATATTATTAAGGGGAAAGTCAGAATGTGCGAATATAAAACCAACCTATCTCTATGAAATTGAGAACTAGTTTTAATCAGCTCATTTGTGGCTATTGTTTCTTGCTCGGACTTACTCTTTTATCTCATTTCTTTTTGGTAGTGACTCTCATATAAAGAAACTGTTGAAGCAAGAGTTGAAGGGAAGTTATTTTGTTTCTGTTCATTGTTTTATTTATTTTAAACAGGACATTTTTATTGTTTTGTTCATTTTAAACAGGATAAAGTGTCACAGAGAAAAATTCCTGCTGAAGCGACTGATCTCCAAACTGTTATAAAGATGGTGTTTATTAAAGAGGAGAGTGAAGATGTGAAGATTGAAGAAACATTCACAGTCAAACAGGAAGATCTGCAGAAACAAACAGGTTGATTTTCATTCTCAAAGACCAACTCAGTCATTTGATCCTCATTCAGATATATTTTAATAATAAGAATACTAAATTAAATTTATCCAGCCCTGATTGTGCTGCCTAGTTCTCCTAAATGCACATAAACACTAATTGAAAGACAGGAATGAGTTTGTTTCATCACTTGTTCTCATGTTTTTTTGTCATTATTTTATGTATTATTAGTCTCCCATTTTCTCTACCTTCTTAAGGTTATTGCTTTTCTTGTTCCTCTACTGTTTATAAAGCATCCTTGAGCACTAGCGCTATATAAAATAAATAAAAACAATAAATTTAAAAAGTTTAACTGAGCTGAGGATGTTTGACCTACAGTATTCTCATAAAGAATGTCTGCTATTACAGTGATAGTGTTGGCTTAGTACTTTCCATTTGCATATGTCACAATAATCACAATTCCAACTTCTTTATGGGTTTAAACTTGTTTCTAGTAGTTGTTACTAGTTCTCACAGATAGTATCTAGAATTACATCATTATTATAATAACTAATTACCAGGGCTAATTACTGGGTCTTAAAATGTGTTAAATTCCAAATTTCCTTACAATAACATGTTTAAACGTGCTCCATGTATTTACTGCTGAGGACATCGACCTGGACAGATTGTTGTGCATAGATTTAGTGGGTAAAGTAAAGCTTGCTTGTTATTACACACAATTTAAAATCTTTTGCTAAGAAGTATCTCTATATTTTTTTATTATTGTATAATTAAATTAATTAAATTATAATATATTTTTGATCGGTCAATTAAAAATCTTTTCCATCTAGGCCAATTGAAAAATTCCTTTGTCTTTAGCCCTTTATGAGTCCAAAATTTCAGTCATAATGGTCCTAAAGTTCAAAGGGGAAAAAGTTTTTTGTTTTTCACCCAGACATTTATATATATATATATATATATATATATATATATATATATATATATATATATATATATATTTTTTTTTTTTTTTTTTTTTTTTTTAGAGCAGTAATCACAGTACAGTGAAAGCGTGATATTTTTATTCAAGGTTATCATACCAGCTGAAACTTATACTGGCCCATGCCTAATGCTGCTTGATGTTGCAAGGTCATACATTCACTAATTTGCTTTTCGGCTTAGCCCCCTTAATATTCTGGGGTCGCCACAGCGGAATGAACTGCCAACTTATCCAACATATTATCCCATCTCTGGGAAGCATCCATACACACTTATTCACATTCATACACTACAGATAATTTAGCTTTACCCAATTCATTTGCTTTAGACTGTGGGGAAAACTGGTGCACCCGGAGGAAACCCACGCGATCGCCAACTGACCCATCCAAGGCTCGAACCAGCAATCTTCTTGCTGTGAGGCAACAGCATTATCTAATGCGCCACCGTGTCGCCTGTTGCAAGGCCATATTTCTAACTTTCTTGTTTTTCTTGTTTGTAGAGCAAGTAGCCGTTTATTATTTCTGGTCTTTAACACAGTTAACACCCTTCCTAGACCATCATTGGAATGCTGAATCCATTAGAGAGGGAGGGAATAACGGATTTAACAAAATGGGAGCAGAAGGCAATACTTGTTTATTATTAAAATGAAGTCTGAATTGTGACCATATTCTGAGTGATTCATTAATATAACTGGGTTATTCGTAAAATATTGTTTACTCCCTAGAATCGGGGCACAAAGCAGTGAGCATAAAGACACTCAATTAGACGTGTGCTGTTCCATCAGTAACCAAAGTGGCCTCATCATGACAGATGTTGGATAACCAGAATATAATAGCATAAGAAATTTTGCATTGCCAATCCACCCTCTTCCTTTTTTTATTTTCAAGAATTCCTTTCATATGTGAGGAATTTTCTTATCCCAGAGAAATGTAGAAATACAAATATTCAACTCCTTCAAAAATGACTTGGGCATAAAATCAGGCACGGTCTGAAATAGAAACAGAAATCTTGGTAGTATTGTCATTTTATTGGAATTAATCATCCTAGTCAATAGATAAAGGAAGGGTTGACCACGGCGTCATGTCTCGTTCGGCTTTGTCAAGACAACGACAAGGTTTGTTTGAGCTCGGGTCATCCATGGCTCGTTATTATATGCATATAGTATATCCATGTAATTTCTCAGCTGTTTATTAGAACATGGCTGATCCTTTTTTTACATTCTGTCTAG